TTTTGGTAAGTTGTTCTGAAAATTATTTTACTTCTTTCAACATCTGTTCTTGTATTTTTCAGGGAACACTGCAGCCGCCTCAGCGGTGGCGGAAGGCCGCCACTGCCGCCGCAGCCGCCCTTCTGGCCACCTCCTCCAGGCCGTCTTTGCCGTCGTGGCCTTTGCCGCGGCCTGCGCGGCTTCCACCTCTGCCGCGCTTGCCGCCCTTGCCACCCTTGCCCGCTCCGCCTGCGTCACGGCGCCGGCCACCACGGCGCGGCGGGCTGCGCTCCCGCGGCCCAAGCGGGGTGCGGCTGCGGCTGCGGCTGCGGATGCGGGTGTGAGCATACAGGTGATGCTCCAGGAGATGGACAACCCGATCCGGCTGCTGCGAGCGGACGTAAAGGTCATCAAGCAAGGCCGACACACGTTCGCGATCGACGAGGCGGATCACGGTCGAAGGCACACAGGGCGGGGTGGAGCCCCAGAGTGAAGAGCGCGGGCATCAGCCCCCCTTCAGCTTGGTCAACGCGGCGCACCTGGCCACGGGCATCAACCCAAAGAAAACGGGAGGTCCGACCATAGAACAAGCGGACGAAAGGCAGAAGGGTGTTGGCCGCGGGGGCGCCGCGAGGAGCACTAAGCATGGCGTTGCGGCTGATGAGATCAAACGCCCCGACGCCATCAACCGACAACACAGTCAGGTTAGGGTCCGAGCCAGTGGATGCCCTGCAAGCTGAGCTGTGTGCGAGGGCCTCGGTCCCTGCGCGAGTGGACAGAGCAAACTGGTAGGGCTGGCAAACTGCATCAAACGCCGCTCCAAACTGCTGCGCAAGTGCGAGCAACGAGTCGCCGGGTGAAATATGTCTCTCTTTCTCTCTCTCTCTCTTTGTCTGTCTGTCCGTCTGTCTGTCTCTCTGTCTCTCTGTCTGTCTGTCTCTCTGTCTGTCTGTCTGTCTGTGTCTGTCTGTCTCTCTGTCTCTCAGTCTCTCTCTGTCTCTGTCTCTCTGTCTCTTTGTCTCTCTCTGTCTGTGTCTCTGTGTCTCTGTGTCTGTATGTGCGCGTGGGTGCGTGCGTGGGTGCGCGCGTGGGGTGCGCGCGTGGGAGGGGGTGGGGTGGTGGGTGGGTGGGTGGGTGGGTGGGTGGGTGGGTGGGTGGGTGGGTGGGTGGGTGGGTGGGTGGGTGGGTGGGTGGGTGGGTGGTGTGGGTGGGTGGGTGTGTGGTGGGTGGGTGTGTGTGGGTTGTGGTGGGTGTGTGGGTTGTGGGTGTGGGTGTGGTGTGGGAGGTTGGGGGTGGGGGTGTGGTGGGGGTGGGTGTGGTGTTGGAGTGGTGTGGGTTGGGTGGGTGTGTGGGTTGTTGGGAGGGTGTTGGTGGGTGGGCGGTGTTGGTGGTGGTGTGGGCGGGGCGGGGCGGGGGTGGAGGGCGGGCGGGCCGGGCGGGCGGGCGGCCGGGTGCGGCCGGGCGGCGGGCGGCGGCGGGCGGGGCGGGCGGGCTGGCGGGCGGCGGGCGGGCGGGCGGGTCGGGCGGGCGGGGGTGGGTGGGTGTGGGGGGGGGAGTGGGGGGGGGGCGCGGGCGGGGGGTGGGCGCGGGCGGTGGGTGGGCGCGTGCGGGTGGGCGGGTGAGGCGGTGAGGTGAGGCGGGGGGGTGGGTGGGGGGACGGGGGGGTGGGTGGGTGGGGGGGTGGGTGGGCCCGCGCACATGTGCATGCGTGCGTGCGCCTGCGTGCGTGCGCCTGCGTGCGTGCGCCTGCGTGCGTGCGCCTGCGTGCGTGCGCCTGCGTGCGTGCGCCTGCGTGCGTGCGCCTGCGTGCGTGTGCGTGCGTGCGTGTGCGTGCGTGCGTGTGCGTGCGCCTGCGTGCGTGCTGCGCGTGGGCGCGTGCCGCGCGGGCGCAACACGCGCACGCGTGCTCGGGCGGGCGCACGGACGCACGCAGGCGCACGCACGCAGGGCGCATATACTCACGCAGGCGCACGCACGCCCGCAGGCGCACGCACGCACGCAGGCGGCACGTACGCACGCATGCGCACACGTCACGCACGGCAGGCGCACGTAACGCACGCAGGCACACGCGCGGGCGCACGCACACCCGCGCACGCGCACCGCCGCGTGCGTGCGCCTGCATTGCGTGCGCCCCTGGTTCGCCAGGCGTGCGCCTGCGCGCGCCTGCCGCGCCTGGCGCGCGCGTGCGAGGCGCGTGCGCGTGCGCGTGTCGCTTGCGGCGTGCGCGTGCTCGTGCGCGTGCGCGTGCGCCGTGCGCGTGCGCGTGCGCGTGCGGCGTGGCGCGTTGCGCGTTGCGCGCGGGCTGGCGGGCCGGGCGTGCGGCGGGCGGGCGGGCGGGCGGGCGGAGCGGGCGCGTGTGTGTGTGTGTGTGTGTGTGTGTGTGTGTGTGTGTGTGTGTGTGTGTGTGTGTGTGTGTGTGTGTGTGTGTGTGTGTGTGTGTGTGAGAGGGCTGCAGTCGCGACATGTGGGCATTCATTATACGGTCCTCAAAGTGTAGTCGAGCCAGCTGAGTTGCGCAAGCGCATCTCCCAACATGCAAGCGCGCACGTGTCCAGCTGCGCTCTTTTATGTCGATATTTTTTTGGCTCTGCGTTACGCGCGGCTTGTGTCCGCCTGTGCCTGGTGTATGGCTGGTGTGTGTAGGCGTGATTGCGTCTCGCGCGGCAGAACATCCATGAAGAACGCTGTGACGTGCTCCACGCAGCATCTGTGTCGGTCTGGTGCCCGGTTCTGATTTTTGTGCGTGTCTGGGTTACCCCTTTTAATTTGGTCGTCGGTGCCGGTTTGTGTCTGGGCATGGTTTTGCTTCGTGGCAGATAAGTTTTCCAGGCACGCGGCTTCTGCATGTGTTGTTGGTGTCTGGATTTTGCTGTTGTTCTTCGCGTATCTGGCTTTGTCCGATGTCTACCCCTTAGTTGCGTATTCATACCCAGTTCAACACGGTTGGCGCCTGGGTGTTCTACAGAAAAACCTTTCATGCGCTGGTGTGTAGTTGGAGCGCTGTAGTTGCACGCAGCCACTTGGGCACTCCGCCGGCCGTCGAGATTGCAGGACGCTTGCAACGCGAGCGCGTGCTGGGCAGCTGCGGGGAGCAAGGACGCCTAATGCTCTTGGCGCAAGCTGCCGCTAGTGCCGCTAGGATGTCTTGCGGGCGCAGCAAGTCTGCGGCCTCGGCGCGCGCTCCTTCGCCCCGCGCCGACGCAAGGCGGCGCATTCCGCTCGGCCTTGGTAGCGCCACCAACGCCGACACTAAGGTTGCGTCAACTACGGGCTGGCCCCACACAGGCAGCCTGACTTCAGGCCGCCTGCCATCTGACAGGGGGCTGCCAATGTTTAAGTGATCAAACCAGCAATTGTCAAACCAAGCTTTTTGATTTGGAGCCCCTCTTAAACGCCAGAGGCTACGATCTGACCTGAGGATTCCTAACCCACTCACCCGTAAGACTTGATGGACATTAAACATGGTATCCAAACAGATGCTCAGGGCCCCGTTTGCAGGACTGTTTTGGGAGTGTTTTCGGATCAAACCAGGAATTCTTAGGTTCAGATCTTGGCCTGGTCCGTTGCTAAGCTTTTAGATGTTGCAGAGTTTGCGCTCAGGTGAAATCAGTTGCCCATATTGCGCATCTTGCTCAGATCTTTGGGACCGGGATTTTTGGGGCGTGAACTTGAGATAAATCGTGGTACCGAAGCAGTGAGGGGGTTGTTTTTAAGCCGGGGAAACTTGACATAATTCAGACTACCCATAAAAACCAGGTGCAACATTACACGCGAAAAGTATCAAAGAAATTCGAGCAATATCGGATACTGCATGATTCTGTCACAAAACATCTGTGTTCTGCTAGCTGGACTGCCTTTTGTTGGCGGCCATGTTTTACTGGTGCCACAGCAGAGCGGTGTTCGCAGCCGAGTTAGAGTGGCAGCATGTGTCAGCCAGCGAGCCTCGTCTCTTCTGTTGCCGGCTCGTCCGCACTGTTGTGATGACACGCTCTGCCTGCGCGCCTGCGTGCCTGCGTGCCTGCGTGCCTTCGTGTATCCGTGCGTCCGTGCGTCCGTGCGTCCGTGCGTCCGTCCGTCCGTGCGTCCGCGCGTCCGTGCGTGCGTGCGTCCGTGCGTCCGTGCGTCCGTGCGTCCGTGCGTGCGTGCGTGCGTCTGTGAGTGTGTCTGTGAGTGTGTCTGTGAGTGTGTCTGTGAGTGTGTCTGTCAGTGTGTCTGTGAGTGTGTCTGTGAGTGTGTCTGTGAGTGTGTCTGTGAGTGTGTCTGTGAGTGTGTCTGTGAGTGTGTCTGTGAGTGTGTCTGTGAGTTTGTCTGTCTGTCTGTCTGTCCCAGCACTGTCTGTCCCACCACGCAGCGGGCGCGACTGCCGACCGGAGCCCGAGCCCGCCAAGGCAAAGGGGCGCATGAGCAAAGTTGAGAGCTGGCAGGGGGCCCTATAGCGGCATCATGGAGGCCAGGACGTGGGGCTTGTGTCAACGCAGGCAGGCGGTCAACGCAGGCAGGCGACAACAAAAACGCGTGAAATTGATTGAAATCGCATGAAAGCAAGCGCGCAGCCTTGTCAAACTACTGTCTTCATTCGGATCGCAGGCGGGCAAGCAAAACTGTATAGTCCCAACGCACGGTGTAGCTTTGGATACGCACCGCGCAGGCGCGCAGGCGCGCAGACGCGCAGGCGCGCAGGCACGCAGGCACGCAGGCACGCAGGCACGCAGGCACGCAGGCACGCACACACGCGAACGCACACGCACCCACCAACCCATAGCTTGACGGAGTACACTTTAGCTTAGGGTTGTACCGTATCGCCGGCTGCGAATGCTTAAGCACAACCCGCGGGTGTGTGAGCGGAGCTGGAAATGGGCAAGATTTGCAGGGTGTCAAGGAGCTTTAGCGTGGATGCAGGTTCCGGCGCCTTGCAGCGTTGGCGCATTGCGGCGTCGGCGCATCAACTGCCAATCAACTGCGGCGTCAGCACATCAACTGTGGCGTACGCCAACTCTCCCCGCATGCGAGCCCTTTTTCTTCTCTGGCGCTGATATGTTGAGCGGTGAGAACTCTTCAACGGCCAGCTTGCTAAGTCTGCCGCGAACCCCGTTGCTGGATTCACTCTGTACAAGGCCAAACTGCCATGCTTACTTCGCCTTTGCCTTGCCGCCCTTGCCGCCCTTTGGAGGTGTCGCCTCGAATTGCATCGAAAGCCCAAAGCCATATCAGACAATAAGCGATTCTGTTACACTAAAGGTGGGCCATCCCTATGACAAAGTCTCACTCTAAAAGCCATTCCCGTAGTGGCAACCAACAAATCAGATCTTCCACAAAGACCATGGCTGCAAAAGTGGACGAAACCTGAGGTGTTCTTCTCGAAGGGGGTCTGCCTGCCAGAAAACTTTTCTGCCTGCGGATCGTCGGAGACCAGAATGGTGATCTCCGGGGTCCAAGAAGGCCCGCGCTCCCAAGGACCTAAGTTCGGAGTGACGAAAAGGACTGGAGAACATTCAGACCATACTGATCAAACATTGGAGCACCAATTTGGCAGTGGGAAGCAATCCATGTCGGCCTTCTTTGATCTGATTGGATTGGGGCCACAACAAACTCAGCGCTCTCAGGCGGCTCAAGCGCAACGGAACTCGATCTTGAGCCCCTGACCTCTCACTTGGTGCGGCAGCAGGCCTGAAGCACACGAACCTGTTCTTGAACCCCCCCCCCCAAAGCCAAAGAAACTTTCTCAATCCCATCTCCCCCCCAAGCTGTGTCTGCGGGTCGTTTGTTCATTGCCCGCATGTCTCTGTTCTGGTCTTTCAAGGGCGAACACATCAGAGAGAGCCAGGCGCTGCAGGCTCCTCCCCGCTCCTCCCCGCCTGTGGTAGGGGCATGCCTGGCAACAGCTTCAGGAAAAGCCTCACGTTCCCATCCTGTAACATGAGTTGCTACCATCAACCTTCCATTTGCCTTTCCGCCCCGTGAAAAAAATGTCCAGTAGTGATCGATTCCTTTTAAAACCAACAGGGGAAAACACAAAATATTCTTAAACAAATGGAAGCAACTCACTCATGGCCCTCTTCCACCAATCTCAATGCCTATTAAAACTGGCAGGAAAAGAACATGGTCTGTACAGGAATCGACTTAAATCCAGCCTCTAATCAATCAGATTAGTAGCCCCGGACATGTTCTTTCTTCTGTGACGCAACAACGAAGGGTGTTTCAAGGACGCACATAAATATCATGTTACATGAAGCCTACCCCAGCCGGCTGACAAACTTTTCTAAGCTGACTTCCGTCTAAAATATCCCATGCCCCGACAGGCATAGCCCTTCAATCTCCGCTCAAACAGTGTCCCGCACAAGTTGATTGAACGGTCCCGCACAAATGATTAAGGCCGCTGTGGCGTGTGTCTCTCTGTTGAGGGCAGCTCTAGTGGGGAAACTGATTCCAGCTAGTCCGAAACAAATGGGAAGGACTCTAGTGGTTGAAAAGGAACTAATGGGAACAAAATCATGGGACCATCTATTGGTCAAAACGGACACGACTGGGAACCCACAGAATCAACAAGCTCTGCCAACAGGCTTTGAAGCTATGGATAGAGGGAAAAAAAGGAGAGCAGGCAAGGAAAGGAAACATGCATAGGAGAGTAGGTATACTAATCGCTCACTTCAATATCCCTCTTGGAACATATGTTGGGTGACTCTGAATGGGTTCTAACACAGTTCTAGGCGATTGGTTCTGCTCATATATGGACGTGGACGACTTGAGCTCAAGAAAATCGATGGAGAGAACAAAGAGCTTCCCATGTCCCTCGCCAATGCACCATAGAACGCTTAAAAACACTGGGGCCACAGCCCATCTTTTCCAACTCATGCAAATCCAAAACCTGAAGCAAGAAATCAAATGGCCAGAGCGCCATAGGCAGATTTTGATTCATAGGACGGCGAACGAACCTAGCGGTGGGCGGTGGCAACAAAGACATGATGCGGCTTTCTCTTGCTCATGGCAAGAAAAGAATCGCTCAGGAGTTGCCAGTCGCGAAACCGGCCTGATGTACCCAGCTTCGCAGCAAAAGTTCGACTCTTGCTCCTCGTCATCGCCAATGTACCAGTATCCGTCTGTGCCCGAATACAGGAAGCGATCTCCCCGCGCATGGACCCACAAAGGGCAGCCGTTGGGGAAGGTCCCTGGTACCAAATCCTCAGCGAAAAGCTCCAACAACTTCCCAACTCAACTCTCTAAGCAACAACTCCTGGGACGTTGGACAAAAGGCGCACCACGAAACTTGGGTGCTGTAGATCCCCCAGCAAAAAAATAACTATTTGCTGGTTGAAAGGAAGTATCAGGGGAATCCAAAAAGTTAAAGTCTAAAGATCCTACCCAATGGCGGTAGAGAGAAGTGCCGATCAGATCTTTCGTTGCAAATTCAACCCATGCCACCACTCATTTGCGGCCCAGGCGCGTACTTGCCGGTACATTTCACTTGGTCTGGCGTTCCATGTGGCACCCGCGGCACAGTCACGTACAGCACGGAAGGCATGGAGCCATTCCCGCGCTCTACATAGCCGGCCTTACCAGGGGGCAACGCTCTACATTCGTGTTTCGGTGAAACAGGTGGGGTTCCTCTATGATTTCCCTTGTACCCACAAAGGGGATGCGACGTAGGACATAAACAAACCGGAAGGTTCCCTACAGCCAAATACGGTCACTTGGGCCATGCCCTCTTTCCAACAGCCGGCGTTTTGAAGAGGTTGTCGCCCACAACCCCGTCAAATTCCTTTGTTGCTCTGCACCCGCAACCTACAAACCGTCTGAACACGGTGTTCACCAATTAGGAACTTCTAAAAGGAAGGAACTCATCAGGATGCCCTACAGTAGGAAACGCCCATGTCGTATGACTCCTGCTAAGTCAGTGCCACTTGCTTCACCATTCGCGACTTAACGTCTGCGATCTGCGATTTCATCCTTCAAGCACTGCAGCTGGAGGGAGATCCACAGCAAACCAAATCATCTGATAGCCCCTTCAAATGCCGAGAGTCGATTGGCCCAATTCTCTCGGAATGCGTGTATATCCTTATGTGTCCATAGGCAAAAGCACGTCCTTGAAGGAAACAAAACAGTGAACCCTTTTACATGAAAAAGTGAATGGACTTCAGGCGCTTCACCAAGCCCAAGGTCCAGTGTTGCGAGCTTATAAGTTGAACACCCACCTTTGCTTCTATACTCTGAAGGGGACCCACCTCCCCCCAAAACCACAATTTTCCTATACTCTGAAGGGGAACCATCTCCCCCCAAAAGAAG